CAATGCAACAACTGTCACAGAGGGACCAACTATGTTTGCCGCCACTGGTGGACCTGTACTTGTAGTAGGCTACAGCAAAGAGTGGAAGCGAGTGTTATCAGGCCCTAGTGGAATGGGAGAGGGAAGCCATGTACTTCTTGACTGTGTGGGTAAGAAGCACAGAGTAGTAACAGGTCTTCCAAAGTAGCTGTGTCCTTTGTCATTCACCTAACAAACGCTGCATGGTTGGAAGACATGACACTGATGTTTTGAGTAACTGTCTGCTTACTTATCCTAGTGAGATTTCTTGTGCTGCTGACCAATGTGAAAAAGGTCTTATTACTGCTGAGAGGGAAAAAGTGAGAGAGAGAGAGAGAGAGAGGGAGAATTTTATGGATCAAATGCACTCCTTATGAAAACTCAGGACCTAGTTCAATAAGGAAGCATCTCCATAAGATGGATAATCTCCAGCTAAACCTCCACACTAAGCAAGAGCTAGTCAACAGGTTCATTAGATAGAAAGACAAAACAAAACAAAGAAAAAAAATCAGCAAAAACAATGCAAACTTTCTCCGAGATTGTACAATCATCTGTCAGCCTCCAAACCCAGCATTCAGTGTGGAAAGCTATTAAAACCCTGCAGGAAACCCTGGGGGTACAAAAGCAAGCCCTCAATAATGTACCAGGAAAATGGAGAAACTGTCTACCCACACGGCTTTCTGGGTGAAATGACAGAGCTTATTAGATATTCCCCTGTAAATCGTACAATTTCCAAAGCATCACCTTGTAAATGCTATGAAACGTTCCTCGAAATACACTGGACAACCTCATTGGTAGATCATCAGTAAACAGATAAAGCTCCTGAAATTTGCAGAAACTACCAGAGTAACAGACATGAGACATAATTTCTGAACATGCAAAGAAGTTCCTTTAGTAGGCAGGACTTTCCAGTGTTGATGTATCTACAGCCACTACTACCAGTGGCAAGTAATCTGAATCCCATATCTTGAAATACAATGAGTTATTTAGAACTGAGAAAAATAATATCATACAGTAATGATTTTTTTTTACAAAACAAGTTGCAAGTCTTGTATGAACAAAGGTTGACTAAAAAAGATCTACCACTGTATGTCATTTTATGTATCTTATTCTATGCTACTCCTATTTTAAGTGTTTAAATAGTAAACAAATTTTAAAAGTAAAATAATTATTCTGTGTGCTAAATGCATTTTAGAGAATAGTTGGAAGTGTCATATAATCTCAGCTACTGTGGGCTTCACTGTACATGGCAAGAAATGCTGCTATTAATAAAAGCAGGACAAATATTTCATAATTAATACTTCAATTAATTTTACTTATGCTTGTGAAACGTTTGCAGGTAGGATGCCTGCTGACACAAGCTTTTCACTCTATTTATAGCCTTGTATAAACTAAAATAGTACCAGAAAACAAGTATCCATTATTACTGAATTTGTTCTTGCAAAAGAAATGGGTAGAGCAGCTGGGACATCATTAATGCATGGAAGAAGTATGTGCATTCTGCATCTATTGATCTAATTTTTCTGTATTTTGATATTGGAACATTCCTGCAGATATATTTGTTGTATTTGTAGAATACACTGGAACAGTTTCAGAGATGAAACAATTCTCAAGTGGCCCAGAACAGCATGGATAATACCCTTACAACATCATTCTATTTTCCAAGATGGCTCTATTGATTATTCCTTTACTGAAGTGACCATTTGTCATAATCCAGGACTCATTCACCTCTGCTGAAAAAAGTTGGGTATTTCATAAAAAGGCTTAAAAAATAGTAAGTTGTGAAAGTTAGATTTTAAGGAACAGCATATATTTTCTTGTATTATACAAGGAAAATGCATGTATTTGTTCTAAGAAGAATCACGGCAATAGGCATTAGAGTGCTGTTTCCTATGTAATCAGAAACATTAAATCAAATGCAGAGGCTTTCTTGGACACATTCATTCTCTTTTCAATCATCTATTCACTAAATTCAATTCTATTTAAAAAAAATAAAAATCACATGGAGCGGGATCCTAAAACTGCAAAGTATTTATATTTTCTTTTTGCTATTAGTAAAAATGGAAATTTCAGATTCTGTAAGTTTTATGACTTTCCAAAGATGTTCTTCACATGGTATATTTTAATTTCCCATCCTCTAGACCATTGTAATGTCTTTCATAAAGCGCATATTCCACTGATTAAAATTCACTGTATTTGAATTGTCACCGTTATGGCATTGTTCTACTGATTCAATATTTATTTGTGAGTAAGGCAAGTCCAGCGTATATTAAAAGCTTCTTATTTAAAGAAAAAGTTAAACCTAAGTAAGATTGCTTAATTTTCTTGAGCCAATGAAATTATTTATGAACTGGTCTGCTGTGTGCTGCAGCCTGCAACACAGCTAAATATTCAGATTATTTAGAATCTCTATTATTCACTTCCTGTTCTATTTTTATGTATACACAGAGCACTTCAGCTCAAAAATGCAAATATATGCAGTGTTATTTTACTGTTCTGAAACCTCTGTTTATACATTCTAAGCTAGCTGAAACTTTTTCAAGAACCTTCATTATCTTAGACATTTTGAGAATATTTTGAAAGCTTGAATAAATTGCCTAACCACCAAATGCCTAGGGCAGCTAGGCAGTGTCTGAAGACTTAGTGAATCGAGTGACTCCTAAATTAGACATTTGCATGGTTATTTTTAATTAATCACCATATAAAATGTAATTAGCATGCACCACTTATCATTTGAATAGCAGTTGGCAATTTTTTTTATTTTGTAAATTCTTGCAACACACAGTTCAGAAGGAAAGAGGGAATCCCAGAGGCTGATGTCAGGAGTAATCAGGGGTGATTTAGTTGGCTGCTGCTCAGGATATAACATGTAGTTTATTTCGCTCTTTATTGCTCAGATTTTTTATTTTAAATTTCAAAAATTATACAACTGTCCATCCACATCATCTCTCCCTGTTGTCTCGAACAAGCAGTAAAAAAATGGAGAAAGAGTAAGTTATGACTCACTTTTGAGTGCTGTGTGGTTACTTTGCGATGCTGACTTGAAATGCAGCAGGACACAGCACAGGTGCAGAGCCCCCGCTGGCTTCAATGAATATATGTTTGTGCTGGTATGAATGAAAATCCTTAGTACTGCTTTAAAGTGGTTGGGAGAACACACAAGAAGAGCTGTAAGGCAGGTAGCATCCCTGAAGTAACACCAGGAAGCCAATCTCTTCCTGTCTGGAGGCAGCCAGCTCCTAGCTAGAATCCAAAGGTACAGATCCCTCCAAACAAACAGAGGAGTCAGTATCAAAAGCTACTGAACGCCCCCAGCATCTCCAAAGACACCGTCACGGTGCCCACAGCTAGTGAGGACATTCAGAATAATACAGATGCTTTTTCAGAGGCCATACAGAGCAGTATCTGCTTGCTCCAACCAGCCCCTTCCCTGCAGTTACAAGAAATATTGGGCAGGTCCTGAAGCAAAACTTTCGAGCACTCAGGCCCGTTGGTATCAGTTCCTGATGACACGTCTCAAAAAGGCACTTGATATTTGTTCTGGAATTAAACTAGTAAATGTTTGCAGTAATGTGAACTAAATTCTGACAGATTGTGTTCCCATTCTAACCAACTATACAGACATAGGAATAAAGTAATGCTTTACATCTGTAGGACCAGTGTTAAAATTTCCAAGGGAGATGACTGCAACAAAGCAAAGAAAAAAAAAATGTCATGGAGTTTTGTTTTCTTTCAGCAAAGGTTCCAAATCTATTACAGGTGTCTTGGGCACTTTTTTTTTTTTTCCCTTTGAGTTTCCAGCAGAACAACTACAGCAAATGAACTCAAACTAAAAATCTGTAGAAGCTGACAGCATTCCCTTGCACTAAGGACATTCTCCCTCGTGAGTCACACAGCAGCATATGGACTGCATCCTTCATGACATGCATCATCAAACAGGTGCACCACACTCAAGAGGGTGCTCCTGAATTTTCATTTGCAATAAAGAAAAGGATTCTCTCTTTAAAAAAGATTTGAAAAATCACATTATTTGAGGATGAGTTAATTACTGCACTAAATTTGAACACTGCCACAATTCTAGAAATAAACTTTCACGCTTTCTGGAAGCTTCTTAAAGGTAACTCTTACTTTTCCTTAAAAAAAAAAAAAAAAAAAAAAAAAAAAAAAAAAAAAAAGGCTGTGAGACTGTAAGAAAGGTGAAGCAAAAAAAGCATTTGTTTCTGTTTTTCTTCACCACACCTGAGGAATGAAAAATTATTATTCTTATGGGTTTATGTCACTCCTATCTAAACTTTAGTAGCTTGATTTAAAATACAATTTCAGCACCTAGAGCATGACTTAGACAGAAGATAGCCACTTAAGTCAGAATTTATAGTTCTGCAAATCCCTGCTCAGCTATCTCAGAATATTTTAAAACACTTCAAATTGACATTGGTGCCTGTGTCTTTATCTTAAGTTTCTCTGGTGCTGAAAGTTTTGTTTCAGTGTATTTCCACAAACACCTTAGTACTGTCAGAGCTGCATAGACAGGCCACACAATCACAAACATAATAACATAGAAGAAACTGCCATTTTTTTTTCCTGCAATTCTTATTGCTTAGCAGTTTTCATAGCATGACATCAGAGACAAGCTATTCACAAGATTGCACTAGCAGACTCTTAAGTCTTCTACACCTTTCAAGGGAAGAATATTATCAACTTTCTTTAGTTACTCGATTGTTAGAAAGGTCACAGAATTATAGAATGGGTTGGGTTGGAAGGGACCTTAAAGACCATCCAATTCCAACCCCCTTGCCATGGACAGGGATGCCACCCACCAGACCAGGTTTCCCAAAGCCCCATCCAGCCTGGCCTCAAACACTTTCAGGGATGGGGCATCCACAGCTTCTCTGGGTGACCTGTTCCTATGCCTCACCAACAATCATGAAAGAAGAGAAAAAAAATAAAAACATACAATTATGAAAGAAAAAAAAACAACTTACCTACTGAGTGAAGCATCTATTTCAGATGTTATTTATGTATTTTCATGAAACATGAACAGGGTAAAATGTATAAAATACTGTGGACTTTCATGACTTAAGCTGTACGTAAGGAGTCAGCTCCCATTACCACTACAGAAATGCAACTAATGGGGTCCAGTTCTCCCCTGCTTTCTTTTCTTTTTAAAGAACAACTGTCAACATATCTTTTCACACGAGTATTCTGAAGCAGATAAAATTAAAATTTATGTGCCTCTGGTAGGTCATCTATACTCTGGAGAGTGAATAGATTTTAAATACATCTCTACACTGAACAGTTCCTGTCAGGGTTTGGATTCCAGTCAGGAGACCAATCACTTAAAAGTGAGGCACCTCCAGTATTTTGCACAGTGGCACAGAAGTCTCTTTTCTGAATTAGCCTTAAATGTTTAAAACTGTTTTGTGACACTCACAACCATACAAATTAAAAATCAAATCTCTCTATAGCAATACCCACCTAAATCAAATAGAACAAAGCACTAGTCTATCCCTGAAATACCCTTGCTGCTAATCACGCTGTAGCAGAATTTTCCATAGGAGAACTACCTATGCAAAACAGCATGCTCCAAACAAAAGAGTACAACTAATTCCTCATCCAAAGGTTGCTGTCAGAAAACGTTCCCTCTGATACTTTAACCTTCCAGCAGGTGAGTGTTTCAGACAAATCTTTCCCTCCTCCCTTTTCATTCCAGTGGGGCATGTTTTCCTTACTTTTTTTCCCCTCAAATTCTCTGCATCTTTTCCCAAGCTGGGCATTAGAAAGTACAGCACAGATAATATTCTAGTGAAAATGTCATTTTTTACTACTTTAGTAGCTGGTAATAAAACTTGTTTCTCTGTTGAGACCTTCTTAACATATTATTTGTTTTAAACTGCCTATATGCTTGTAAACAGCTTTAGACTGCTGTAAATTGATCCACCTAACATCCTTCTTCCTGGTGTGGATAGTTAGGATAAAAAGAAGGCCAGGTTAATTACAAAGAAGATGTGTTAATTAACTAATTAACACATCACACTTCTCTGTAGCAGGCAGAAAGGAGGAGAAAGACAACTGGGGGAATTGAGTGCAGAATAGTAGAGATTGGTTTATGCAGCACAGAGAGCAGAGAGTAACTTTGATGAGACACCACAGCTGTGTGTAATGTGCACTGTCAAAACCTAAATCTCTAGTAAACTGTGTGAAATTGGTTCAGACATTCATCTCCTTCTTGCAAATGCAAGGAATACAAGCCATGGTAAATTAGTCAGGAGTTTGACTAAATTTATGGGAACCAGAATGAGTCTGGTCCTTTCCTGACCTATACATCAGAAGACCTGCACAGATCAAAGGGCTTCCTGAAATTCTCACTGTATACCTGTTAGAGTGGACAGAAATGTAGGAAAGGTATTATTCTTAAAGAAGTTTAATTAATCACACCCAGAGAGATGGATGCCACTGCTGGTATCATGTGGCTCTAGCTTATGCTATTTTGATTTTGATTATGTTTCAGTAATGGCCTGTGTCTTAAATATTATGGGGTTTTTCTCTGAGTACAAAGACAGTTTGGGCACGAGGTACTTTTAAGTGTCCACTGTACCCAATTTGCAGTTGGACCCATCCCTGCTAAGTAATCCATGAGTTTCTGCAGTTTCCAACTCACACTTAGCAAACTAGCCAAGACACCGGGACAGATGTACCCAGAGCCAAAAATGAGATTGACATGGAATTAAGACTTTTAGGGCTCTTGTTTGAACTGGCCCATAAGGTTTGATTTTGTGTCTTTCTTTTCCAGATGAAGAAGATAACAATTTGCAGAACCCTGTTCTATAAAACAAAATTCCAAATATCTGTGATCTACCCAATGACTGAATTTATTAATGCCACTTACCCTCTGAAATTCACTGTGTTTTCTGTCACTCATACTGACTGTTGTCAAGAGATGCACAGTCATCTTCAAGCAGTATTATGAACGTCTCGGTGGTCTTACAAAGCATGTTATACTTCTGTGCAGAATCACCAACCTTTTCTGAAATAGAGAGGGCAAACAGAAGTTGTAGATTGCCCTCCCTAGCATCATATTGTGCATGGTTTTCCTTTTTAGTAATTCATCCACCTTTTCTTGCCAGTCTTCCCTGTAAGTGACTTGAGATTAATCACACTGTTTTTCCCTATTGAAGGAATGACTGGGATTTTCAGTTTCAAAGTGACAACTTTGTGTTACACCCCTACAGAAAATGTTGCCAAAGTTATTGCATCATAGATGGGCATTGCATCATTTTGATAAAGTAGTAGCAGTTTGGGGAATTTTCTTCTTCTCCAGTCTTTCTTTGAGTCTTTCTATGTCTGCAATTTTTCAGTTCCTCTAGCTTCAGTGCTTATTATAGGCATTGAAATTCCCAGTTTCCCATAAAAATTTCTGTAATCATTTAAACACGTTTCCCTGCTGTTACTTTATAAATTAGGAACATCAAATTTTATTCAGTTTAATTCTATAACTTTGTCTATCTTTGCTTTTTTACCTATAATCCTTTCCCTCTGTTAGATTGTGATGGTGGAACAAAATGAATATCATGCAATATCTGCAAGCCACTTGATTTCATGCCCACCAAACTACCTTCTCAGTTTATTGCTCCTTTTGGAACTTTACTTATGAAACCAGTACTAGGGCAGAATTTGGGATGTCTCAGCACAAGCCTGTCTTCTTTAGAATATCTAAATAAATATCATATATATAAACATAAGTAAATATCTAAAATCTATGAAATATTTCATTTCTACATGCAGTACCATATTTTTCAAGCTTCTGTAGCATTTTTTTATAGTTTGTCTGTTTGTCTGTATAGTTCTGTTTCACTTAAAGATTTTTTTTTTAAGTACATCTAGTGTATCCAAAAACATTTCTTTTTAAAGTACGATACTCTTCACCCATGCACCTTTTTGAAGACATGCAGTAGCCTAATATTTTTTCTTCTGTATTTCCCAAATTTTAGCTCTGGTGGATTTTTATTTTTTTTTATCTGTTCTTTTCTTTCATTTTTCTTTAGTGTCTTCATACATCTATTTATATGTCATGCTCAGGAATCACTGTTTATCTTCTTTATTTCAGCAAAGTAGTTCCGATGCCTCTGTAAAACTTAACATGGATTTATACAGAGCTCCTTTTCAGACAGTGTACCTTTGAAGCTAAACCTATCACAAATTCAGTTTTCTACTTCACAGCCCTAAAGCAAGGTCATTGTTCTAGACCTATAAACAACTAAAATAAAGGGTTTTTTTGTTACCAGGTTGATGAGGTGTATATTTGTGATCATAATTTAAAAAATATATGTGTTTGAACCATAACTTCCCTACACAGACATATCAAATGATAAACTGAAGAACAAAATTAAGGACTGAATTATCTTTCCTTTGAACATGATGAGTATTATCATAATTTTTAAAATGTTGAAAAATTATATGTAGTTTTATGTCTGGTTTATTTACAGTTTTCCTGATCATACTTTTTCCAGGATAAAAACTATGGCTCATCCTTGAGACTGTTTAACTGCTCCAGTAAAAGTTAAATCCATTGTTATTCATAGAACCATCATTGTCTGAGTGCCTACTTAGTGCAAAGAAACAGTAAGCTACCACTTACTACTTTGCTTTACAGTTTTTAGATTTACCTACCTACACAATATTGTTTGATAGCTTGGTTTTAAGTTTTCAATGTCTTCATCACAGATGATACAGACAACATACGGATTTGGAAGTAAAACTTCCAAGCTCCATCAGCTGAGTAACACTCAGCTAATTACAGTAAATAAAGAACAATTGTTTTATGCAAATTATTCACCACCCAGAAAAAAAAAAAAAAAAAAAAAAAAAAAAGAGCACTGTGACTGTATTATGATCTATTAACACTGACAAATATTAATTTTGCTACATGCGTGGTAAGTAATCATAAAGTAAAATACAGTGTATTATTTGTCAATCCAAATGATTACAAACACAAAATTTTTCAATAGAAAAGCAGGAAAAAAAGCAAGAGAAGAAAGCTAAAATGAGGTAAGAAGTAGCAGCAGAAAGGGAAGACTAAGGAGGACAGAAAAGAGGCCAATGAGAGCAGAAGTAAGTGGAAGCAATAAAGAAATGGTATTTTGTAAAAGATCCCACGTGAAACAAAATTGGTCCAAGTTGCCATATCTAGCTGACATTTTTTTCTCTGTAATAAGTACTGTACGTTTTTTTTTTTTTTTTCTTTCTACACTTACAGATTAGTAGAGGCTCAATATTCTTCCAAATAGATGAGCTGTTGAAATGAGATACAGCCTTAATTGTAGGCTTTATGAAGTAGATGGGAATAGTTGAATCCACATCCAACCTCAGGAGACACATATTAACTAAAGAAACTATGAAAAATAATAAGGGAAGTGGAGAACAGCTTGCAAGAAAAGAAAGCAGGTGAAAGAAAGTAGGGAAAACTCATATTAGTGCTGTTCAGCTGCGGGGAAAAAAATAGGCTGAAAATCTTTTTTTTTTTTTTTTTCCCCAGCACATTTTAGAATTGTCTTTCAAGTCAATTCCTTCATTTTGCAGTGAAAACCACTGAAGCACTACCTAGGTTCAAGCTTCCTAATATTTATCCTTTAGTAGGCAAAGGTGTTCCCAATAACCTAACACCAAAGTATGTTAATGGTAAGGACAGTGCTATGCTATGGGAACAGTCCAAGCACATAAATTAAAAATCTTTCTTCTCCGTGTGTCATTTTTGTGTTATGATTTGTCTTTCTAAGTATGGAGAGACATGGCACTATGAATTAGATACAGCATAGACTGACAAAACAAAAACAACAAATGGACTTTAACAAAGGAGACTGATCAAAGTATGTCATATTTCAGCCGCACAGCCATTTCAAAACTTATTCTAGAAGTGAATTGGCTGCCTCACTCTCTTCATATGCTATTAGCTTCACAGGCAGCAATCAGAAGTCCAAGGAAAAGATCTTAAGGTGTGCAATGACTGGTTCTTGAAACTTTCATCACACTGTGTATCAGTGCTGCAGATTTTTTTTTTATAATTATTATAAATTGTAGTTTCTGTTAACTGGTGCTGTCAGTAAAATAAACACTTTTTCAAGTGATAAAATGGGAACAGTCCTGCCTTCTCTAAATTGAGAGATGGTTCCTCTCCTATACCATCTCTCTGCCATACAGTGCTCTGAAACATGATAAAACCCAGAAAAAGCCAAGCCATTGACATACTGTAAAATATGCCCTTAAAGCTGTGGTACTTGAAACTTGTTTGGCCCATATCTCAAGCATGGCTCAGTTAGGCAAAGCTGGTGATTCTGTGCAGAACATTCCCTTCTGTGTTTCAAACTCAACACTTGCAAATAGGTCTGCTTTTTGACACTTCAGTGATGTTAATGTTTCTATTTTCTCTAGCCTCATTGCACATAGATGACATAATGGATTTCATTCAGGCTTATACAAATGATCATGCACACGCTGAAAGTGAATGCCACGTCTTAGATTTTGAGAGGTTTGTTTAGCTTGTCTCAGCTCATTTGTGATGCACATTTTCTGCAATAAACTGTCATCAGTTGGACCACCAGAATACAGTGAAAAATAAACTTTTCTGGATGCTTCTATGGAAAAGCGTACTGTTTGACAGGTATTTTTGTCTTAATAGGTAATTTGTCTTAATAATAAACAAAAACAAAATAAACCAACCAAACAAAAAACTCTAATGTGACATGTAATCACCAACCTGAGATTAGCAAGAACCCAAGTTAACTTCTGGTGTAATTTGTATTAACTTCTTAACCGGTAGATTTTATAGACACTTCCCATTATCATCCAGTGAAAATAATAAATTAGTCATCAACTGACATTCCAGTTCTACCTAAGGATATAATTTTTGTCATGATAAAACTGAAAGGGAATTACAGAAATGGTCATAAATCAGAGA